TTCAGACTGCTCAGGGGTACAATAGATGTGATCTTTTTTGCTAGACAGGTGCAGGAAGAGTGCCGTGAGCAACACCAAGATCTTACGTAGCCTTTGTTGACCTGACTAAGGCCTTTAATTCAACCAACAGAGAAGCTGCCAAAATTTGTTACCATTATCAGATTTCTTCATGATGACATGACAACAGCCATCTTAAGCAGTGGCTTGGAAATGGACTCCTTCACTATTAGAACTGGACTCAAGCAAGACTGTGAGGTTACACTAATGTTCTTTTTTCCATCTGTATCGCAGCTGTGGTGCATCACATTGCTAATAGACTTCCATCTGGAGTCAGCATCCAATATTGCATGGACTGGAGTCTCTTTAACATCAAACAGTTACGGTCCAAATTCAAGATAACCCAATGTCTCCATTACTGATTTTTAGTGTGCTGATGATTGTGTCATATATGCTCAGTCAATCAAAGAGCTCCAGGTCACACTTGATTGCTTCTGTGAAATATGTGAAATACTTGGGCTCACTCTCACAAAACCCAAAATACTTTACCAACGTATCCCAAGCCAAGTGCTGTTCCAGGTATTACAGCCAGAGGGTGAATGTTGAGCATTCCCCTAGCTGGGTAGCCACTTTTCTCAAGAAAAGTGATAGATAATGGTTTTAAAAGTAGACATAGATCACAGCCCCTAGTTCTGGTACTTCAGATTTACAGAGAGACTGGAGAACGTTGATTATTTCCTGTACCTCAGAAGCCATCTCTAGCAAAAGGCTGACATCAATGAAGAAATCCAACATCAGCTTAAAAGTGCAAATCTGGTCTTCAAATACCTAAGGAAACAAGTGTTTGAAGATTGCACCATCAGATTTGAAACCACGCTTATAGTTTATTGAGCAGTTGTGATCCCCACCTTACTGTATGGAGCTGAGACATGGACAGCGTACAAGAGACGCCTCAAGTTGTGGGAGAATACTATCTATGCTGCCTGTGGAAGATCCTTAGAATCCTGTGGGAAGACAGATGAGATGCATCAACATTATCATCCTCTCGGAAGCAAACGCCATGAGCACTGACGGGATGATCATCCAAAATCAACTTTGCTGGGCCGACTACATCATCCAGATGTCTGACTCTAGACTCCCAAAGCTAGTTTTATTTTCCCACTTCAGTCAAGGTGTACACTCAAGAGGAGAGCAGAGAAAGCTCTTCAAGCATCCTCAAAGTCAACTTGGAAAAAATGTAACATCAGCTCACTGATGATTATCACCTATGACCACTCTAGATGGTGGAAGAGTCTGCTGCAAGGATTTCACTACTTTGAAACCTTACAATGACAACAGGAGACAGAAAAGCAGGAGCAGCAGAAACAGTGTGTCATGGACTGAATCAAGAATCCAGAACCACCCACCCTGCACAGAAACACGTGCTTGAGTTGCAACAGTTTGTCGATGTCAGAACGATCTCATTAGCCATCTTCGGACCCACAGATAAAGGAATCATGGAAGACAATCATCCTTGAATGCAAGGGATTGCTGATGATTCAACACCAGATAAAATCTGCTGGTGCTGCCTTTGGATGTTTCTGATATCTTGTCATTAATATCTTGGGTCTTTAAGGGACCCAAACCAAACTTGTCATCTACCAACTGCTGTCATCCCTACCTTGTTGTATGGGTGTGAAACTTGGACAATATATCTGTCTCTGGAAAATCCTCCATATCCATAGGAGGAACAGAAGAATGAATGTCATTGCTGTGGCTTAAGCAAACACCACCAGCATTGAAGCCATGTTTATATGGCATTAGTTCTGTTGGGCAGGACTTGTCCCAAGGATGCCTGACAACTGGCTCCTGAAATAGGTCCTATACTCCCAATTCACCAGTAGTTACTGCTCTAGAGGTGGGCAAAAAAAGAGGTTCAAGGGCACTCTGAAGGCTAATCTGAAGTACTGCACTATTAACATCAATACCTGGGAGACTCAAGTACCAAATTGTCCCCAAAGGCACAGTGATCTATGATAAGGGATTAACCATTTTGAGCAAATTCATCTCACTTTGGAGGTAGACGGATGACAGCGACAAATAAAAAGAGCTGTGCCCTTACATCACCAGATCTACTTCTTCCTCCTGGAGCTATTTGCCATGTCTGTAGCAGAACGTGGATTTCGGATCAGTCTCCTCAATCATCTTCAGACTCCCCTGTGACTTCCCTATTTCCCTTGTATTGAGGGTTGTATCAGATACAGTAATAAGGAGGTGATAATATCTGTAAAGGGTTACAGGAAAAAATGTAGCCCTGATCACTTGTGTTTTATTTGTATTTAAGCATTCCAGGCTCTCTTTTCTTTATGCCTTGATACAGCAGAGACTTTTGCACTTGTTAAACAAGTCCTGCTGTAATCCAGAAGACTACCTACATTGTGTGAATTTAAGCACAACAGATGTTTCAGGATCAGATTGTTTAAAAAAAAAAATGGATGTACTGCAGCTTCCTATCGGTACTATCCTGACTTCTTCATACAATGATAGGACAGGAGAAGGTTTGAACTGAATTGTCCTCAGTCAATGTTATTGGATCTCCTTTTTGTTTATTGATAGCAGTAGCTTGCTGGTTGAACAACATTTTTGAGTAAAAAATAAATAAATAAGGTCTCTGACTCTCTTCATAAAAGCTTTTAAAAATATGGCTGCCTCAAGAGCTATGTGGATTTTTGTAATATACTACTTTGCACTTCCCTGTAGAGTCTTTATCTCAAGGTACCTTATGCACAATAAGGAGCGAAAGTAGGAAGACTCTTTCACTAATGTTCATTTGAACCTGGTAACCCTCCCAGTGCCATCACCGTCTGCCCCAAGCCCAGCCCAGCCCCTGCTGGGAAGAGCCCAGGACAGCCCCGGCCCCAGCCTGCAGCTGTAGCCCGCCCCGTCTGCACCCTGTGCAGATCTAGGTACACAGGCCGTGCCCCCCCCCCCCCCTTCCCC